TGGAGCAGCAATTTTTGTGCGCGAAGATCAACACCGACGTGGAATACGATCACGAGCTGGTGAAGCAAATGCGAGTGGTCAATTTGAACGCTATGTCGTGTCTGAAGATGCCCAACGGTTTCGCGCGCTTCTTCAGTTATTACAACGTGGGCAACATCGGCAACGCCGGTCGCGTGATGAATCGCACTCACTGTATGCGCGATTCTTTCGTGTTCGACATCTTCGCCGCGACGGATCGAGTGATACGATTTCTGCGCGCCGGCGTTCCGTCTCGCGACGACGACGACGCCGCCGCCGCCGCAGCCGCTCGCGAAACGACGAGCGTGATTTTCGCCGTGAACGAGATACCGGTTCTGTGCCGGTCGGTGAGCGCGGTGTCGTTCGAGCGCGAGTATCGCGCCGATCGCGACGATGTCGCGGTCACCGAGTGGCTCTTCTGGTCGACGTTTCTCGCGATCAAGTATCTCCTGCCGGGTTCCGTCGTCATGTCGACGCGACTCCGACGTCCGAGCGCGTCGCCCCTCGCGTCGATCGCACGGCACGCCTCGTATTTCGTAAACGTTCGTTTGACGAACGGCGTGCCCACGTGTCCCGTGCGCGTGACGACGTCGACTGATCGCGTTCGCGACGACGGTGTCTCCGCGGCGACGATCGATTCCGACGTCGCCGCGGCGACGTACTGCGCCGAGTGTCGCGAGTACTATCCGAACGACGGACTGACGATTTCGTTCGCGACATCGGCGCTATCGTCGCCGATCGACGACGAGCGTATCCGCGTGGCGGTGGGCGACACCGCCCTGCTACGATATCGCGCTCACATATGGTGCAACCGGCACGAGATCGCGCTGTACGAATCGTCGCCGCGGACCGGCGACTCCGTCGAACGCGATGGCGTTCGACCGCCCAAGCTGCACGAGGTTGCGTGTTACGGTCTGCTGTTGGTGGCGGCTTTTCCCTACGCCACGGACGTCAGCAAGCTCATCGTGGCCATAAACGCGCACAAGCGCGCTCTGGAATTGCGCATCGCGTGATCGGCGAGAACGGCGGCATTGTCGCGCGCGACAACGGAAAATCGCGACGATCGACGCGCGAACGTTACCGCGATGCGTCGCAACTTGGACGCGTGCGCCGATCGCGCCTGGCGCGAGTTCGATCAGAACGGCAAACTGACGCGTCTCAGGTTTCTCGACGATCGCGACTCAGCGCCGTCGCGAGAGTCGTCGACGCGACAACGACTCACCCCGCGCAACGCGGTTCGTCTGTTCTTCGCGTTCGGCGACGTGAACATGCTGAACTGCGAGGACGGCTACGTGCTGAACGATCGCGTGAGACTCCTGGCCGATACGACGATGTGCCGCAAGATCGGTTTCTGTGCGCGCACCCGATGACGTTTCTGTCTCGAATGACGCTCGAATACACGCACGATCTGGGTCTGCGCGTGCTCGTCGGTACGTTTCGCGTCGTCGGGGCCGGCGCGCGCGTGCGATTCTTCAACGCGGCGGACGGCAATGTTTACGTGTCGTAGCGTCCGCCCTCGCGCGTGTCGCTCCGCGGCGGCTTGGTCGACGACAACGACGCGTCTGTCGGGTCGACGACTCGCGTCGAACGCGCGTACGATCTGTACGTGTCGTGGAACGCGTCGTATCTTCAACGACCGTTCGACGAATGTGGCGTCGTCGAGGCCGTCGCGACGACGCGACCGGCGAATCGATCGGTGTAGACGACGCGACGGACAACGCACTGTTCCACGAATTGCGCGAGTACGCGAACGGACCGATCGGCGAATCAACGGTGGAGCTGTACGCGAAGCACGTGCGCGTGACGCTGCGGGCGATCGGTGTGCGACAGACGCTTCGACCAGAAGGGCGTCGCCCATTACGCCGATTTCAGCGATCTCGAGACGGACCGGGAGGAACGCGTGTATCCGGTGTCGTCGATCAACAGTCTGCTCGGACGATTCGCTTGCGGACAGTTGCTCGAGCAGCGCGATGACTGTCGATACGTTTCCTCGCGACAGACCGGCCTGTGCGTGGGCACCGACGGCTACGGGTACTTCTTCATCAGCGACGATTCGGCGCACAACAATTTCATCTACAGCGTCAAACACGAGGGCGAGAATCCGATGCGCGTGTGTAAGTTCACGTACGACAGTTTTCTGGAGAACGGCATGTCCAGTGGGGCGCTGGTGAAAGCCAGCGAATTCGAGTGTGGAATAACGAATCCGTACGCCCGTCTGCCGCGAAACGTCTCGCGGGCGCTGGATTGTTACGGCGTGTACGATCGACGTGTTCACCTGGAATCGCAGACTCTGCTGGTCGCGCGACGACGAATGCTCGATCGCGCGACGGTGCGAGCCATCAGACGCGTGGTCGCTGAACGAGATGACGGAGCCGTCGTTTCCGCGTCGACGACGCGAAAACGACGCGCGTCTCGACGCGGCGCGGCGAACGAGCGACCGCGAGGAAAGATCGCGTCGCACGGAAGATGCGCCGAACGAGCGAACGTGGAGACGAACGCGCGACCGTGAAGCGCACGCGCGACGCCTCTGCGCGCGAAACGAACGTGATCGCTCGAGTGAACGACGAATTGCGCGAAATCGACGCGCTGTTCGACGAGCTCTGTCGCCCCGACGAGAGAGTTCGGTCCGGCGCCGACGACGACGAACGCTCGTTGCGGCGAGATCAGCGAGGCGTTTTGGCGCGCGTGCGACGTTTGTGTCGCGAATTGTCGTCCGTCGGGACGGTCGCCGCTTCCGACGACGACGCCTCGATGACGCCGGTGTCGCGACTGCGAGCATTGTGCTCGCGGGCGTTCGCGGCTAGCGTTCGCTTGGACGAGCGCCTCTGGCTGTCCCGATCGCGCGCAGCCGCGGCCTCGCTGAGCACCAAGTTGCGACTGACGATCGACGACGCGGACGACGCGACGGCCGCGACCGACCGAATCGGCGCGTATCGTTACGACGACGGGACGAATTTTACCGACGACTGTGACTTCGCGGCGGACGACATGCCCTCGGCGTGGCTGCGACTGTTGACGCTGATCGAGCGCGGCGACGAGGTGTCGGGTCGCGTCGACGAGAGAGTCGCGACGAGTCGATTCACGACTCTGCACTCGCGGGTCTCGTGCGAGTACGATCTGCGCGACTGCGTCACACTGCTGATCGCACGATCGTACGTTGTGCGAAGGGCGCTCGAAGTGAGCCGGCGTCCGCCGGCGAGCGACTCGCCCATCTGAGCGAGGTAGCGTGATCGCTCGCCGAACGCGACGCTCTGCGCGACACATTGGCTCGATCGCGCGAAGTCGCGAACGCGGAGGATCGCCAGATATTGACGGAGCGCGACAAGGCGCGCGAATTGCGCGCGGTCAACGAGGCGCTGAACGCGCGCGTTCGATTGGAGCGAGAACGCGTGGCGAATCGAGCGAATCTGATTATGAGCGAGATCGTCGACGGTATGCGGACGGTGGCCGATATCGCGGAACGTGGTAGAAAGCGCGAACTCGCGGAGCTCCGGGCCTCCCGGCAGCGACTCGTGGCGGCGCGCGACGACGCGCTGAAACCGGTGTTTCGGACGCTTCGCGCGATGGACATGACCACCGCGGGATTGAACGATTCAGACGCGTTCGACGTCGCGTTGAGCGCGGAGTCGGATCTGCGCGCCACGTTGGCGCGATGCGCGACCAGCGGAGCGCTCGTGCTGTTGGCCGAGGGCGGTGTGGCTGACGTCGAGGCGACCTCTGCGTCGCGCGCATCGACGGACGACGACGACCGAGAAGACGAGGCCGCGGAACGCCTGGCCGTCGAGTTGCGCGCCATAGTGTCTCGATGCGACGCGCTGAAGCGATCGCGCAATTACGAATTCGCCTCGGCTCTGGCGGAACTGACCGTCGCGCGAAGCAGACGCGAAACGTTTCTGCGCACGCGAGACATGCTGACGTCTCGCGTGCGCGTTTACGCCGGGTTTTTGCGCCGTTACGCGTTGTGGTACTCCTGCGTCATCGACATGGGCCGATACGAGAGCGTGGTTCCGTATCGAATCCGAGAGCGGCATCGGCCGCCGACGTCGACGGCCGATGCGATGATGCGTTCGGTGACGCGTCGAAGACCGCGAGCGACGAGAGCCGGGAACGGGTTGGCGTGCGACTGCGGCGGCGCGTTCGCTGTGCTCAACGATCTGGTCGAGCTGCGGCACGCGTACGACGGCGGTGACGACGAGTACCGAGAGCGCTGTCGTTACGTCGAGATAAACAACGCTGCTCGAGCTGTGGCGCGAGATCGTCGACTTCGAACGCACAGCTCGCGCCGTCGATATCGGCGCGCGCGGTCGGTGCGATCGCGCGTGCGATCTCAACGCGACGCGCTGGCCGTCGCCGTTCCCGAGCATGTCGCTGGCCGATTGGATCGGACTGTGCTTCGCCGTTTGTTGTGCCTCGGCGCCGTTCTCCGATCGCCCGCCCACCGTCGAGGCTCTGTGGATCGTGGAGTCCTCGATTCGAACGAACGAGGCGTGCTGACGCGGTTCCGATCGCGCGCGATCGCGGCACCTGTTTTCTCGCGGCTCGCGCGGAAACGCGCGCCGCGAACCGTTCGCGAGCGGATCCCATTCTCGCGCGAGTCGCGAGAAATAGGTGCCGCGAGCTGATCCTATTTTCGCGCGAGGTGCGAAAAATAGGTGCCGTCTCGAGGATCCTCGATGGATCCTAGTGCTCGTCAAAGAAGCTGGAATCACCATGTTTTCGCTCGATTTGACGGAAACGGGGATGGCGCGCGGATCCTTGGACGGATCCTAAAAACGCGCGATCGACTGAGCGATCGCGCGAAATAGGCATCCTATTTTCGCTGGAGCGACGTGCGCTCGCGCAAGAATAGGACTCCTCGTTTTCCGAGCGATCGCGCGAAATAGTTGGCGATAGAGAGAGAGAGAGAGAGAGAGAGAGAGAGAGAGAGAGAGAGATAGAGAGAGAGATAAGACGATCGAGCGCGCGCGAAACGAGAATCCAGCATGGGCGCGAGCACGACCGCGCGCGTCCTGGTGATCGTCGCGCTCATCGTCGCGCTCAACGTCGCGTTGATCTACCTCGTCGGGCGGGCGAAGATTCGCAGCAACGATCGACTGAAGCGGCTGTTCAACAACGAGACGTTGGACACGCTTCGCATCGGTGTCGCTGTTACAGCCGACGAGATCAGTAAGTCTGTGGTCTCGGGACCCGTGTCCGCGCTATTGTTCCCCTCGAAGCGAACCTCGCGCGATTCGCCGTCGCGATGAACGCATCGCGCGGCGCGACTACCTCTCGCGTTCCGTCCGCTGTCGAGACTACCGTGTACGAGAGAGCGATCGACGAATTCGTTCGAGAGCACAACGAAGAGGCCCGATCGATTGTGAAATTGGAGCGCGCCGACAACGCCGCCGCGGCCGACAAGCACGTGGCTCTCGGTACGATCGTGGCCTGATACGCCGCCACGTACGATCGACTCATCATAGATCCGGCGGACAGACAGTTTCTGCGCAGCGAAGTGGTGACCCGGTGCATGCAGGCTCTCGTGTTACGCTCCATGCAACTGAGCGGTTTCGCCGATCTGGCGATGTCGCTCGGCGCCGCGAGGAACATACGCGCCGACATCGAGCGCGCGCGTCGTCGCTTGGACGACAACACCGGCGACTCCGCGGACGCCAACGCCGATCCGCGCGTACACACCGACGGACTGTACGAGTACATACCGCACGACAGTCTGAACGTCTCGCTGAACGATCTGCCGGGCTACGAGGAGCAGCACGCGCAGTTGCTGAACGCCTATTTCGTGATCAACGACGAGCCGGAGAGCGCCCTGTTGGCGGACGAGACGATGGAGCGACGACCGAGCACGCGGGCCGGTGCGAATGTGATTCTGTACGGACCACCGGGCACCGGTAAAACTGCGGCCGCTCGAGCAGTGACCCGGTCGCTCGGTTTGAATCTGATGTTCGTCAACGCGGAGAACCTGCTGTCGGCCTACCGCTCGGAGACCGAGAAGAACCTGCGCTCGCTGTACCGGAAAATGCGCGCTCTCGTTCGCACCACCGGTCGCAACGTGGTGCTGCTGCTGGACGAGGTAGGCGGACTGGTGAAGAATCGCAGCGGTGCCGTGACCAGCGGCGAGTACAGTCTGCTCACGAGATTTCTCACGATTCTCTCGAACCGAACGACGTGACGGACAACTACGGCGTGTTCAGCATCTTCACGACCAACCGTCTGAGCAATCTGGACGACGCATTTCATCGTCGGTGCGCTGCCGTGTTCATGGGTTACGTGGGTACGCGGGAGACCACGGTGCGATCGTTCAATGCTTTTCTGCACCGATCGATCGACTACGCGACGCGAGGCACCAGATTCGCCAGTCGGGACTACGAATCGGAGATTCGTCGAACGTGTCGTCACTGGATGCCCGGAGACTTCGCGCGCTTCAAACGCACAATCGTGGAACCGTCGCGCCTGCGGATCGTTACTTCGAACGATCCGACACCACGTACGAGGACTTTGTGACCGAACGCCTGGCGATGCGAGGCGACGACGACGCCGCCGTCGGTGGCGATCGCGACGATCGAGAGATACGCGTGACTCTGCCGTTGCTGTCGTACACCGAGATACTGGCGCACGTGGCGCGTTACGAACCGGTGACACTGCTCGACAAGTACGGCGAGTACGATACGCCGCCGGTGCGACGGGACGGGAACGATGACCAGGATGGGTGAACCTGTAGCGGGAAAATAATAAACGACTCGTAGTGGATACTGACGCATAGGTGCAATCGTTTAATCGACCTCTTTCCTTCAAGCGTATGTGCATACAAGTGCATATATATATATATACGTGCGTGCGTCACGAAAAAACACAAAGAGATACGGCGCGCGAACGCGCGCTCGATCATCGAGGTATGTGCAACGCGGCGCGAGACCCGCCGCTACGAAGCGATCGTAGCAGTAGTCCGGATGATTTTCGTTTTTCGCGTATATTTCTCCAGAGCGAGCACCTCGAATCGAGTTCGCACATTCGAAACGTTCTCGGCCGAATCGCGGGACTCGGCGACAGGGTTGAACCGCGAGCCGCGCTGACACTCGACGATCCTCGGTTTCGCTCGGTACAACTCGCTCGAGCGTCGACGGTTCCGTAACGGCGACGGTCGTCGTGGGGGGGGGGAGAGTTCTCGCGATCGTCGTCGGGCGGTCGTCGCGAGTGACGGTCGTCGCGTCGAACCGCGGACGAGAGACGCGGCTGTCGGTAGCGCAACGATCCTTCGCGGTGGCGATCGACTGACATCGCGAGGGTATCGATTTCGACTGGATGACGATCGCTCGCGAAGTTTCGACTCGACACTGGCGCGACGTCGTGTATTGGTTATTGCGCATTTTACCGATTTTGTGCGACTATTGCGAGATCACTGTGATATCGCGGCGCGATATTCATCCGAGCGCGATTCGTTACAAAACTGCACGGGGTTGGATGCGATGCGACGTGTGCGTGCGTTGCGCTCTGTCGCGCGTGACGAAACAAATTATTCCCGAATTGGTCGTTGCCGTTCGACGATGGCGTGTTCGGCGAAACGACTCGTCGGAGCGCAACGAGTGCGTTGTTCGCACCTACGCCATTGATCGTCAAACGACGCATACTAGATGCCATACGCAGCGGTCGATGCGTAACTCGATGCGGCAGATATCCGTATCCTTGGTGGAACTTGGTTGTCGTTAAATTTGTACCTCAGTGCGCGCGACGAAAATCGCAGAACGGTGTCGTTTCTCGTTCCTTCGTGGCCAGTGACGGTTCCACGACCGAAGACGCGCTAGCTATTCTGAGCGATGTGGCGGTCCAGCTGTTGCTACTATGCGAAAAAGGAGAAACGTGCACCGTGTTCGCACGAGTGGCTCCCGATCGATGGGAGAACATGGCGTACTGGTTGTCTCATCTGTTGCCTCTGTTGTCCGAGCATTTCACTATTTGTTCGCCGCGATCGCGAGATCGACTCGTTTCATCGAAATCGCGTCTCGATCGAACATCGAGACACTCTCTCGAGAGTGATAGCGACGTCGTCGGTCGCCGAGATCGGAACGCGTTCCCTCGACCGTTATCTTCGCGAAATTGAAACGCGTGTTCTTCGATCGTTATCTCCTCGGCAAGAGAGAGAGGGAGAGAGAGAGAGAGAGAGCTGAGTGTTTCGATCGAAAAAACCCGCGAGTGTCGCAAACGAGGACGTATTAGAGTTTGAAATATTTCGCAGTAACAACTAAGGCGCGACTACCGGTGAAATGTCGACAATTGGAACGATGAGACTCATCGCGAGGTTGTCGATCGCTATGTTGGCTACTATGACGAAGAGAACGATGACGCGAACGTTACGACTGATACGTAATCTGTTGACGACCACGGTGATCAACAGACGCGAGCAGGCAGTGCGCCGAGAGCGATTTCACGATGAGTTATCGCTCCGTAACGTTCTTTCGCCCGTATATAACGAACGCGAATGACTTTCCGATCGTTAGTTCGATCGAAAAAGAAAAGAGGGAAATGTCACCCGCTGCGAATCGAGGCGATGACGAACGAACGGAACAATCGTCGATCGTCGCGACAATTCGCGAATATCGTCGGATTCGACTGGAAAGAGAACGACAATGTCCGTATTGCACGCGTCGATACATCATGGACGAGATGTTCGCGGAGGGGATACGGTACATCGATTACGCTTCGCGCGAGGAGCGACGGACCGTCGATTGGACCACACCGCGATCGCGTGTGCTGCAGGATCCTCTTCATGTGGAGGAAATGATATCGGGTTTGCTGATGGAAACTAGTGCTTATTGCGATCGAAAGGAAGCCGAGTCTCGTTACCCTTGGTCGTTGCATCAATCGATCAATCTGGAAACAATTGTCGTGCACAGCGATGACGATGAAAGCACGAACGAGAAAAGAACAGGGCCGATCGCCTCGCTCGAAGATTACGAATTGACCAGTGACCTATTGAACATATTGCGCGGTATATTGGTGCATCGAGAGCGTCGATCGAACATCGAGGCGAGGTACGCCGAAGTCACGGTCCGAATATCGAGTCGTCACTGGAACATTGTGTACTGGCTCTTGCGCATTCTGCCGAAAATGTGCGATTCGTTCACGTTGACGGTGTGTCCAGACGCGGTGTTTCGTCGCTGCGTCGACTCATCTTGGAGCTCGTGGTTGCACGGTGTGTTCGATTACACCGCGCGAACTCGACCTTGCGAGCACGGATGTTGGAAGTGCGCGATAACGCGCGTCGTTCACCGGACCATTCCCGAGCTGACAACGGCGGTTCGACGCCGGCGAGTTCAACGACACCTGGCGCGATCAGTCGTCGACACGACACACTCGTCGCGATCACCCACTCCAGCGCACGTGAAGCGAGCGATACTGGACGAACTGCTGTCGTGCGACGCGTCGGAAATCAGAGGCAAGCATCGCGTTCATTTGAAAACGTGTCATTCGCGGTCCGTTTTCGCGCGATAGATATAATAGTCGCGCTCTCATGGAGGAACGGCACGACGAAGCGGAGGACGCGACCGTTCACGTCCGAGGACGGTTCGACGACCGAAATAGTACTGACCGTGTTGACCGAGGTGACGCAAAGATTGCGCGACGTTGACTTCGATACGCCTGTGATCGTACAGGCGTCTGAGCAATGCGAGAACGTGTTGTACTGGTTGACTCACATGCTTCCGTTGTTCTGTTGGCGCTTTTCATTATGTGTAAAGGTCCATTGACGCAGCGCACGCGATCGATCGATGCCTTGGCTCTGTAATACGAGATAATAAACATTGCGTTGTAAAAATACGATGAGCGTTCGAGTTTCTCTCCCTTTCATCCGTCGATTCGTGGTTTCATGATATTATCGTTCGTTCGATATCGCATTAGTGGATCCGCGAGGACAAGAGCAATGGCGCGTTCGCAACGCGCGTTGCGATTCGAAGTGTTCGAAGGGTGTCGTGACAATTGCTCGGTGCGATGCATATCGTGGAAGTAGACGTCGAACGGAGCGGCGAAATGACGCGAACCCGTGATCAGACGCGATATAAAACGCTGATGCTCCGTCACGAACGACGACAATATCGAGCTTTTTTTTTCACCAGACTTTCGACTCGAGCGTCCCACGTTCCGTTCGCTGCGAATTTCGTATTGTCAATCAATGTCGAGTGCGAACGGCGCAACTTGGGCGAGGTCGTTATGGAGTCAGTCCAGCGACTTCGATAAAGAAGAACGGTGCCCGTATTGCAGACTTCAACGCGTCGTGCGAGTACTGATCCGCTATGCGGATCGACTCTCGAAGACACTCAGCGATTCCGACGAGGAACCGTCGCTGCCACAGAAACCGAGCGACGAGGAACCGTCGCTGCCGCAAAAACCGAGCCACGTCGAAGAAATCATAGCTACCGTCACGATCGGCATCGACTCGTATTGCACGGACGATCACGCTCGCTCGCGGTATCCTTGGAAACATCGTCAATCGATTCGATTGCGTCTGGCCCGTGGCATGGTGCGCGATCTCGATGACGGATCGCAAATCGATGCTCGCGATTCGGCGCACGCGCTACTCTTCGCACTGTGCGATATATTCGAGAATCAGTGTTGGTGGCCGGTGAATCGTTACTTTCGTTCGAAACGTGTTCTTTTCGAGACCGAGCTCGAGCTGTCGATCGCGCACTGGCGAATCGTCGTGTCCTAGTTGTCGCGCATCATGCCTGTGTTTTGCGACTTCGTCATCGACGTGACGTCGCGTCCCGCGGTCGGTAATTTTTAACGTGTCGTGTCGGTACCTCGATTGAGCGTTTCGCGACGATACGTCGCGTACCAACGTTACGTCGGATACGCGTACGAGTTTTTTTGTTCGTATCACTGGTATACAAACGTGGGGGTGAGTAGATAGAATAGGGGGAGTCTAACCCTAATTGCTAATTAATTATGCAAAAGACATTATTTATTAATTAATATTTTTTAATTAATACCCCCCAATTGATTCCCCCTCTTAATTGACCCCCTTAATTGACCCCCCTCTTTATTGGTCCCCCTGTTTATTGAACCCCCTCTTTATTGATCCCCCCTGTTTATTGACTCCCCCTCTTCATTGATCCCCCTCTTAATTGATCCCCCCTTTTAATTGATACCCCCTCTTTATTGGTACCCTCCTGCTCCACCCCAAAATCTTTGATTCTATGAGCAAGATGGCGGCCGTGACGTCACGAGAGAAAAACGCGTCTGGCTGTAGGTAGACTCGAACCTGGGCCCCGCGGGTTGTTATCGGACGCTCGAACCTCCTAGACCATTACTGCCTGTTGCTAGTAGACGTCTAGTGAAGGTTCTTACAGTATGTGTGTGAGGACGTCACGCATACGTCAAAAGAAAAAACATGGCGGCGGTGTAGGCCAGACTCGAACCTGGGTCCCGCGGTTGCTGTCGAGCGCTCGAACCTTCTAGACCTCCGTCGCTTATTGCTAGTAGGCGTCACGTTACGGGTAAGATGGCGACTGGGACGTCACGCATACGCCAAAAGAACGAATATGGCGGTGGTGTAGGTAGGGTCGAACCTGGGCCCCGCGATTACTATCGAGCGTCTATCGGACGTCTCTCGAACGTCTCTCGAACGTCTATCGGACGTCTAATAATCATCATACCGCAAATAAAGAACTGTATTTTTATCAAACACAATTATCATATAAAATCCTAAGAGGTGAAAGGG